CATTATAAAAGCACGAGAACCAAATCCCCTAAAGGAACCGCACTTCCTTTCTTGAGGAATGATATTATCATGGCTAAAGGGACTGTCACAAACATAGACACATCCTACTCCCAGAAACACATACGACAGAGTCTCCTCCGATGTCATTTAGGGAATGATAGACAAATGTGGGGGCTGAATGAGAGTAATTTGGTGAATTGGGAGCTGATTACATCCAAAAGAGGAGGATTAATTGATTGTCATTAACTTGCAATGAGATCTGTAGGAATTTTCCATAAGGCTCTATTTTCAGTGCTGTCCAATTCAACAATTTTATCAATTACCTGGAAGAAGTCTGGGAACTTGCTTACTAAATTTGCAGACGATACAAAGCCAGCAAAGGAGGAAATATTAGTAATTCACTGGATGACAGAATCGAGTTTCAAAAATGTCTGTTATTTAGGATGATGGGTTGACATTTGTTAAGGAGAAAGATAAAGTCCTGGATTTAATTAGGAAAAAAATTGTGATGATTGGAGCTGAACTGAGAGCAGCTGCAAATAATAATAAAAAGTTTCAGGTTTTAATTGACCATAAGGGTAATACAACTACTGAAAAGTCAACACAGTGTCTGTTGGCATTTGGGGAGAGAGACAGAGAGAGGCTCCAAACTGATAAAAGTAACATATCTATCTTGTTTCTTGCAATATTGAATACTGAGTTCAATTTTGAAAACTGTATTTTAAGAAAGATATTAACAAGTTGTTTGTTTAGTAGATAGAGGAGCCTGAAGAGTGAAGAATCCAGGAAGCATACAATATCAAACAATGGAGTGGCTTATCTATAAAATAGAAGAGGATCACAATTGCAATCTCCATTGAGTACTTAATATAGATACCGATTACTTAATTATCAAAGACAAAAAAAGCTAGACTATCAGGATTCAAATTGAGGTGGTCTTACTCCAGAATCTATTCTTTTAGCTACAATACTACATTATTTCTATGAATACTTACTAAATGTTTGTAGAATTTCTATGTGATAAAAATTAGATTGACTCTGCGGAATGTTGTTATCAGCAGATGGGCTGACTAAGGTTATATGTCAAAATAGAGGATTTTTCCGGCCACTAGGAAGATGACACAGTACATTTTCTGTTTTGGACTACAAAGTTAGGCTAGATGGACTCTAAAGCAACACACAATCATAAGATTATAGTTCCTGGGGATATGATTTGATATCGTACTGTATTATAATGAATAACATAGAAGCCTTAAAACGTCAATTAAATTAGGTAGTAACAATTGAAATGATGCTGCCTTGAGCACACATTCAGGAAGTCCCCATCCCATGTCTCATATTGCTAAGATATTCTCACCATGTGTACTTGGTGATCTTTCCTTCATGGATATCAAACTCTGCCAATGTTATATACATTTTTGTTTACCCATCTTTGTGCTGTATTTAGAATATTATCAACATTATCTCACGTGAATACTTCCTTCCAAGGACATTATATTGTAGAAGTAACAAATGTCTTTTTAAAACTTTTATACTTGGGGACTTATGATATTTGCCTGTATTGAAATCAATTTTGGAACTGGTTTCAGCAGGCAGAGAGGGTTAAATTTCTGTCAGATGCCAGCTATAATAACTAGAACACTTAATTTTTTCTCCCTCAATTATTGCATTTAAAAATAAGAATAACAATATTACCTCTACAAAAATATTGTGATAAATGCAATAAAGCATGCAAAAGCTCATACTGTACTGTGCTATACTATACTACACTGTCCTCAATAAAAATTTAGGTTTTCAATGACAAGTGTTTGCAAGAACAGTTGTATATAATAAAGAATTTACCTGACCCAGTTCCTGGGAGGTAACCTCTCAATTTTTTCAATTTCCTGTGTGATTGGAGTGTTTTTGTTATTTTTGATGAGCCTCTAAGACTTATCCCCCTCCCCCATTAATTCATGTTAATGAGATGACTCAGAATGGGATGTGGTCAGCCAGGAAATCAACCAGGTGATTGGAGAAGACAGAGCTCAACTTCTAGGGAGGAGCAGAAGGCCAGAGATGGAATTCAGCCACATGGCCAGCGAAGCAATCAGTTATGCCTGGATAATAAGGCCTCCATAGAAACTCTGGACAATATCCAGGCCTGTCATCTCAGCATTTAGGAGATGGAACTACGAGGATTGCAAGTTATAGTCCTGCCACAGCAATTTAGTGAAACCCTGTCTCAAAATAAAAAATAAAAGGTACTGGGATGTAGCTCACTGTGAAGGTCCTGCGTTCCATCCCCAGTACCAAAAACAAACACCAACCAACGAACCAACCAACCAGCCAACCACCAAAAGCACTGGCCACTGAAGTTCAGTGTGGTTTCCTAGCAGTCAACATTCTTCTGTGGTCACACATTGATGTGCGAGGATGGCACTGTCCCTAAAAAAGGAAAGTGGCGTCAGCTTTGGAGCCCTCCCAAGTCCTCTATGGTTCATTCTAAATGTATTATTTTGCTATAATAAGGTAATAATCACAGGCATTGGACTTTCTTGGACTCTGTGAATTATTCCAGCAAGTTATCAAACTTGAGGGAGTCTGTAGCAAAAGCCACATTTATACCCAGCTGTTGTGTCCAGTAAGGACAGTTTTGGAGAGAACTTAACCTATAAAGTTTGGTCTAACTTGGGCTAAGCTGCTTAAGCATGTATATAAGAAATTCAGAATTCTATAAAACAAGTAAGCTGGCAGCAATATATTTTTTATTATTTCTTTTCTTTTTCTTTTTTTTTGTGGTACCAGGGATTGAACTCAGGACCTTGCAATTGCAAGGCAGGCATGGCACCAGTGAGCTAAATCCCTACCTCTTATTTCTTCTTTTTATTAGTACATGCTTGCAGGACATAAAATTTACATTTCTTGTGGGAGTTGGCACATGTACATAACACAGCTTAATTCCTTCTTTCATCCTTCTCATCTCTTGATCCCTTTCCCATTTGACAAAGATCTATCATCCTATTTCCTATTATCTATCCTTTATTTTGCTCTTTATTTATAATTTGCTCCTATAAGAGAAACCATGCAATATTTAATCTTGTATGTCTGATTTATTTCACTTAATGTTATGGTCTCAAGGTGCATCTCTTTTCCTACAAATGGAAAGTTTGTCTTTTTTTATGGCAGAGTAGCACTCCATTGTGTATAAATACCATATTTTCTTTATCCATTAATCTGTTGATGGACATATAGGCCACTTCCAAGATTTAGCTATCATGAATTTTGCTGTTATAAACATGAATATACACGTGCATTTCTTGTGTATATGTCAAATGAGATTTGATTGTAGAAATTTTAATGCAAAAATCTCAGAAATGTCTTCATTGAGTAATGGAAAGGAAGGAAACATGTTCAATATCTGAAATGTTTTAGATACAGATATAGGTGAGACTTTTCCAGGTTATTTTACAAAACTTTAATGGCAGTGCTTTGTCTTCTGTTTATATGCAAAGAATCTGATCTCCAGAGATAAATGACCGGGTTCCATTTACACAGTTATAGCAGCATGGATTTGAGTTATCTGAGGATTGCAGTCACACCTCACACTGCTTTGTGCAGCACAGGACTTGGCACGTGGTAAGTATTCAATACATGCTTTTGCTTTGCTTTCTCAGATAACTAAGAAAAGGGCAGGGCTTGCCCTTGTCATCTACCAATCAAGATTGGTAGCTTTCTTTCCTAGAACTTTACCATATTCACCACTTTTAATTATTTTTGTTTGTTTCTTTGTTTCCTTGCACCCCTGGGAATTTTGGAAGGCAGGGGAGGGTTTATTTTGCTCACAAGGGTATCTCTTGTGCACAGTATGTATGGTACATAACACAGGGGAGTCCCTGCTAAATATTTTTTTGAGTAGAGACTTTGTGTTAAAAGAAATTTCTCATTTATGGAAGTTGTTTTCTTCATAGTTTGAAAGCAGGTAATTTTTTTTTTCTTTTTTCGGTGGGGTTTGAGCCCAGGGCCTTCCTAGTTTCCAGCCCTTTTTTATTTTGAAACAGGGTATCGCTAAATTGCCTAAGCTGGTTGTGTACCTGTGATATTCATGCTTCAGCCTCCTGAGGCAGTAGGGTTACAGGTGTGTGGCATTAAGCTTGGCAATTAAGTGTGCTTTTTATAAGAGACCAGAAACCAACATTTTCTGTACAGTATTTTACATGCACAGCATAAGTATTTTTGAAAGTAGAGAAGAATAAGTTTGTGATATTTTCCACAAAATAAGTAAATGTAAATCAAAATGAAATTGAAGCTCTAGTGACATTTTAGAACAAATTAAAAAATTCTGTGGATTTAAAATGCAGCCAAAGGCATTTTGCTGTAACTGCTAGCCATTGTTGTCATCCTATCTGATTTTTTTCACCCAGACATATAACTTAAGAGTAGTATAATTTAAGTATAACTTAAAACATATAACTTTAACATCTGTATCAACAATTTTTAGATTTTTTTTTCTCTGTCCAAAATCTCTATTGGAAAAATCTCCCAAGATCAATTCCTGTTCAACTCATGAGCTCTCTTTGGTGGCACAGACGAGATTTCTGACAAATCCTGAAGAAAACAGGTCGTGCAGATGCCCCACTCTCCTATGGGGGCTCCAGTTCTAAGGTTCCGTGGCTTCTCCATGCTAGCTATGAAGAACTATTGCCAATGGCCTCATGAAAGACCTAACACGAATATGCTGTGACCGGGTTGTTTTAAAGCACATGAAAGAAAGACAGCAGACAGGGTCTCATGAGAAGCGACATTCTGTAATTACCTCCTCCTATCAAAAGCAAAACAATTCCCAGAAATTAATGAATACAGCAAGAGTCTATTTCCTATCTGAATTCTATCTTAATTGCAAAAGTGGATCAATTAAAAAAAAAAGACCATTCTGGCAAAGCTTCTCTCTTCAGGTTTTGTCTCCCAGTTCCCTAGTCACGTAATCAATATATATAAGCATACTAGGAAATGATTTTTACCTTCCGAGATGAGATAAACCAACTTTACCAGCAGTGCTCCTGTGTAACAACCAAATCCATTGAATAGTGTCAAAAAATTCATAGAAGTTCTTCTGATGGTGCATGGAACAGATCTGTATGCTATTACAGAGGCTGTGAGAAAAACAGAAGGGCAGAGTTTAGAACATGCGTCCTAAGACAATTTCATAGATAGCATTCAAATTAATATTGATTATGCATCAAAAGAAAATTCACTAATGTAATCAAAACTTGGATTGAATTTTGTTGAGGTTACTACAGTAGGAGATGGTACATTTTACAGATGTCTTCAAGGAATAAAAGATGCCAAAATATACTCTTATGTACTCTGAAGAGAATTTGATTACTTGGCAGTTGAATCCTCTAATACATTCACCCAAATTTACTCCAATTTGAATGTTTCTGAAAAATTTCAGATTGAGGCAAGGTCTGTACTAGACCATATCACGACAATCTAGCAATAAGATCTATGATTCCGTGGTTCTATGTAAATCATTAGGCTCCTTACAGAAAAGTTACATTGACCATATGAAATTTGTACAGAGGTTAAGAGCATGGGCCCCTGAGTTAAACAAGAATATGCTAAAAATCTCAGGTGAATCACTAACTGTCTTTGTGATTTCAGGTAAGGTACTGAAACATTTCAAGCCTCGGTGTTCCCTTCTATGAAGTGGGAATAGTATTACTCACTTGCTGATGTGCTGTGCCAATTACCTGCTATAAATATGTGGAGTGTTTCGTATGTGATGCTGAGTTGCAGGTAGTGAAGAATGTTTTTAGTTTGCTTGTTTTTGTGGCACTAAGAATTAAACCCAGGGCCTTCACACTGAGTGGCACCCTGAGCCCTTTTTATATTTATTTAGAGATAGGGTCTCGCTAAGTCACTAAGCTGCCCAGGCTGGGACTTGAGGTTTTGTTTCTCCTGGCTCGGCCTAGGATTGTAGGTGTGAGCCACCGTGCCCAGCATGGTTAACTATTTTTAACAATATTAATGTTACCAAATCGAGTAATTCCTACTAGTGCAAAGCCTTGTGGAAGGCCCTTAATGTGTTAAGCTGTTTAAGGAGAGAATGCTTAGACAGAGGTAAGAGCTTCAGCCTTGGGTCTCTGAAATGGTCCTATTTTTCTCAAGCCATCACTGGAGTAACAGTAATGACAGTGGCAGCAGTTTGAAAAGAATTCGAAGTCATGGGAGAGATTTTATTAAAAATTTCAACTAAAATTAATCTTTTCTGAAATCAGAAATTGAAGGTAGAAATAGAAGACATAGATAATGCTATATAATTCTGCACATACCATATTACGTAACTGTGATAAAATATACATGACAATCTTAGTGATACAAATTGCAATATTTGGTATTTGTTATAGTATGGTACATGGCAATTGCTTCAAAATTATATAACGGAGGAAAAGGGAATAAAAAGAGAAGACAAATTTAGGCATGTGTTGAAAATTGTTGAAACTGGAAGATGGATACTATACATGAGATTTTATTTTTAAATAATCTCTATTATATACACACAATAAAAAATTTAAAATATATTAATATCAACAATCTAAGTTTTGAGTGGTTGAATTATTGGCTTTCTAATTTTCTTACTGTTTTGTGCTTTGCAAATTTTTCTACAATGAGACTCTAAATACTTTAGCTCATTTTAAAGAAAAGATAATTGAAAACAAATATAAACACTGATTCTTTCTATTCCTTATATATACAAAGAAATCTTATTATCTTTTCCTTTTCCTTTCAGCAACATTTCACTTCTGATTTACTTACATTTTAACATGGGGAAATTCTGCATCTGTTCAGCATTTTTAAATGAACTTACTAATATATATAAAGCAAATGTATGACTATTCCTTCTTGAGTTCATGTAGCATTTCTGTTTTACTTTCTGTGTGTCCTCCGTGTGTTTTTATTTGTAAACATTTAATGGAGTCCCTAGTTTTTCTCTAGAAAAGGTGCCTAGTGCCGAACTAGGGATTCAAAAAAGGTATAAGTTTGTCTTTCCGAGATTTTAAACTCTGGAAGGACAGAGAGCAGAAGTGTTACATTGCACAGAGTGATGCTAAACAGGTAGTCAATTCCACAATACTGATTGGAAAGGAAGATGGTAATGATAATGATGATAAATAAGGTAATGGAGAGAAGGACTTCTAATTTTGGTGGCTAGGTGCCATGGCCTTTCTGTGTAGTACCAGTCACCAGCAGGAGCCTAAAGCCAAGCCTCCGAGTATAGTCAGGAAGGCCCAAAGGAGAGTATGCGGTAACACTGAAGAGGCCGAGGGAAGAATTGATTCACAGTTATAAAGGGACCTGGCTCATGAACGTCCCTCTCCATAAATACAAGGAGACAAACAATGGGCAGAAAGAGTAAGTAGTCCTATTTCTTTCTCTGAGAAAAAGCAGAATGTACAAGCCCATTATTACTCTGCTAGTTAATTATTAATCTTACGCTTTTCTCTTGCTAGAACTTCTGGTGCAGTGTATAATTCATGAACCCACTTTGCCAGCTCCCTGCCTGCTGGTTAATCTCTCTTTGGTGTCATTTTAGTCGTTTTTTGAAAGCCTCCATTTCCCTTTATAGGACTTAGCTTTCCAACTCCTCAAATCTCCATTTTTCAGACATCTACTTGTAAGTTCTCATCTTTTCCAACTTTAGCAATCGTCAACTTGATGTTTTATGTCATAAGATACATCTTGTAGCCCATTATAGTATAGCTATTATCAACAAGTCAGTCACTATGCTGAAATTTCCATCATACTATGAAGACACAATGAAAAATATTCAAAGTGTTTGTGAAAGCTGATCTTCTCGCCAGTAAGAACTCAGAATGTACCTCCAGGTAGAGGCTGGTTACTGTTTGCAAGGATATCACAGCATAGACAGGATCTATAAAGTCGAGGGCCATAACCAACTTCCTAAGCATCTGGTTCTGGAGACTCATTGCTGGAACTCTTCACTCCAGTTGTTCTTAAACCATTAAAACAAGGATTATTGTGTTTGATGCAAAGTTATTTTACTATGTGGAGGAGAAGTAGAACAACTCCGAAACTGGAACTTTACCCTGTGGTCACCTTCAGACTATTATTCTTTCCTTAGTATCTCATGTTATCATCAGATTATATTATTTACCTTTCTTTTGTGTTGTCATCTACTAATCCAGGCCACTTTCCTCTGTTTCTGAAAGTAGGCAGATTCTTTCTTGTCACATTCTCCAATATAGCTCTTACATTAATTCTTGGTAAATTAAAAAATATATGCTGATAATCTTTCTAACTTTCCACCCTTAGCTTCTTTGTTTCTTGACCTCCTATGCCCTTGTATTCCTTTCTGCTTTAGCATCTACCCATGGTCACAGACTCTACCTTCTGACCCAGATCAGGGGTGCCAACCATGGCCAAGAAATGTCCAGCCACCACATATTTTCATCTAACTTTATTGGAACATGGCCACTCCTATTTATTAAGGATTGTCTATGGCTACTTTTACATATCAAGGACATAGTTGAAAAATTATGAGAGAAATTTATAAGTAAGTAAAAGCCTGTTTACTGTCTGAAACCTTATAAAAAATTTGTCAATTGATACTCTTCATCAATAACTACCACCATTCTGTAATGCCAACTTCATACGGCCCTTTCTGACTATGATATTCTAGCTTTCCAAGGTACTCTCTATTCTAAGTCAACCATGAATGTCTTCAACAACAGAAATTTGGTCTGTTTCATGTGTGTGTGTGACTGGAGATCAACTCCAGGGCCTCTTCACTGAGCTACATTATATCTCTTGCCCTTTAACAATTTTTAATTTTGAAACAATATCTCACTAAGTCACTCAGACAGGGCTTGAACTTGTGACCCTTTTACCCCAGACTTCCAAAGTTCTAGGATTACAAATGTGTGCCACCCTGACCTGTCTTTTGTTTTGTTTTGTTTTTTCCTGATATGTTTAAAGCCCCCATTGCAACAGACACATATACAGTATTTTTTTGAAAAAGCAAACACAAGTTATGAGACAGCTGAAGTATATACCACTATAAATAAATAAACAAAACATATAGTTTGAAAAGTTTTCTACTTTTGTCTTCTTTTTCTCACACCTTCAATGTACAACATGGCTTAGAAGGGAAAATGTCCACTGAAATTTGTGGAGAAATCCACTGTTTTCTTATTGAATGCCATTAATATAGGACATTGTCAGTAATTTGAAAAATATATTTTTGCTGTGCCATATAGAAATAGATGTGTGTTTCATTTGTTTGTTTAAATAAAAACAGATTTATTGATAACCTACTCTGTATGTGCACTTTCAGGAAGAAGAAGCACAAAGGAATATAAGGGTCTAAGGGTAAGCATGGAGACAAAATTCTGACTACAGGGAGTCTGGATTCTTCTGGTGAAAGGCAGGCAACACATACAAATTATAGATGAGGGGGTGAGAGAGAGAGAGAGAGAGAGAGAGAGAGAGAGAGCACGCATAATGGAATAAAAAGTGATGAGATGATCTAGGAAGCATCTCCAAAAGAGATGATCTTTGAGAAAACTTAATGAGAAGTCAGTATTTCAAACAGAGGGAATGGAGCTCCAGATGAAGAGAAAAGCAAGTACAAAGTGCTTGGGTTAGAAATATATTTGCCACCTTAGAAACACACTAAGTTTTTAACAAAGTGTTCAAGGGCCAGAATATAAGAAAATATAATTGGAACAGTATACACAGGCTTAACCGTGTAGAGCTTTATTCACCATGGTATGGAATTTCATATCTCTAAGACTCTATTGTGGAATCACAGGCAAGGGAGTGATAGGACTTACATTTAGGAAAGACCAGCCTAGCTTTTCTGAAGAGAGTGGACTAATGGGACAAATGAGGATGCTCTAGGACAATCAGGGAGAATCAGGGATAGAGGTATGGTGCTCTAAATTGGAAAATTACAAGAAGAATGGCAAAGAGTGGCCAGATTTAGAGCATATTTGAGTAATGATTAAAACGTGCTGTTGGATTAGAAAGAGGAATGCAGGATGACTCATGCAAGAGAGCCAGTTCTGCTCACACTGCTGCAGTGTGAAGTTCCCTGGTGTTTACACCATGGTATAACAGGCAGGGAGCAAGACACTGTGCAAGTGCCCATGGCACTATAGTAATAATTCATGCAAATGATTAAGACAATGTAACGGTAACTCACATGCTGCATATATATTTAGGAACTATGCTTTTTGCTTTATATAATATATTTCACTTTGTCCTTTGATTTCTTTTGTGTGTGTGTGAGTGTGGTACTAGGGATGGAACTCAGATCCTCACACATGCAAGGCAAGCTCTCCACCATTGAGCTTAAGTCCAGTGATCCTTCACACAACTCTTCCTCATTTCATAAGTGATGAGAAAAGCTCAGAGGTGTAGGATAATTTTCCCAAGATCTCAACACTGGTCAGTGGTAGAACTAGGTCTGTCCAACTTTGAGTTAAACAAAGAGTTTAACATTACATAGAGCCTCACAGGGGTAAGACCTCCTTTTACAGTTCAGACTACTCAGTCAAATTTTATAGCCTTTGATTTTAAAGGAAAAGCCGTTATTGCCATTGACTCCTACTCCAATGCCATGGCATAAGTAGGAATGATAATTATTTCCATCTTAAAGATGAAAAAAGTGAAACTTGGCAGTTAAATGAGCTTCCAAGTCACTTAGGTAGTAACTGAAAGTCTTGGTCTTTGACGCCTGACCCTTAGAGCAGACAGATATTTGACTTGGTTTCATTCAGTTTCATGATGAATAAACAGATGGACTAAGTGATTTATATTACACGATATGCCTTTTTAACAGATAATGACTGTACCTTTTGGCTTCTGTATGTTGAAACACTACTGCTAAGCTGGCTAAGAATTTCCTTACATGTTCACTCATTACTCTACATGTAATATTCACTACTTCCAAGAATTTTCTCAAAATAACATCACAGAAGATCACAAACGCTTGAGCAGCAGTCTTTGTTTACACGTCTTTTGTATTCCTTATGGTGTTAAGTATTCCTTACTGTGTTCCTTAAGTGTTAAACAATAATGTCCTCATCATAGAATCTCACAAAATAACATGCAAAATATGTGGAATGAAAAAGTCTGATGCAATATATATCTATGTGATTACATACTGATATTATTATATATGTGATTATAATTACACATTTAATTAATTTTATTATAATGAATTGTTTTGGTATCATATATATGCATAAATATCTATTTATTAGGTATATATTTAAGAAATTTGAAAATAACTTTGAAGATAATAGAATCATTGAAGATTTTAGATACAAGTAAAATGACTAAAGTTGTCATTTAGGATCATTACTCTGAAGATTATGTGCTGATTCATAGAACGGAATAGATGTTAGCAGGAGCATGATACTGGTTTCAAATATATTCTTAACAAAGTATAATGTGGGCTTGAGTTACAATTAGGGCTCCCAATGCAGGAAATTATACAGAGGGTAGAATCATAAGATATTTTACATTTCACTCTTAAATTCATATACACATCATTGTATTACATGAAATTACTAAAACACTGGGATAAATTTTAAAGAGGCTAGTTTAGTTAATATAAGCAATCTAGATAATCCAGAAATGCTTGCTATATTTGATAATCTTATTTTAAACTTATCTTATGAAAGACTAGTGATCATATTTAATCTAGTGTAATTTAATTTAAAAACATTGAGTTATTCAGGAAAATTGGGTCAAATTTTCATTTTATTTGCATATTCATGTACTTTCAAAGTATATTAAATGCCATTTTTGGAGGAAATATATACATGTATATTTCATATATGTATTTATCTATGAGTGAGAGGGAAGGAAGGAAAAGAGGGAAGAGAGATGAGAGCTTTCATTTAAGTGTGTTGGAGTTGTCTTCTAGGTTTTAGCAGTGCTTTTCTTCTTGTACTGTATCTAAACAAAAAGTTGTTGCCTCTAATCAGGTTAGTAAAGCTTTCATTCCATCTATATCCAGGAGGAATTAATAATTATATATGTGGTAGAGGAATGGAGAGAAATGTAACATTTTAAAAAATGAGAGTGATGCTTAGGTCTATCTGAAGCACTGTGGGAAATCTCCAGGCTGGTGAACAGGTGCCCCACCATTTTGTTTCTGTTGAGGTAATGAGCTCTGTGTTAAAGTTGAGTTACTCACAGGCTGGATTAACCAGTGTTTCAGCCACACCGAGTAAAATGTACTGAAGAGCCAGACGGAAGCCAGGCATGGAGGAAACAATGAGAACTTTGCCAGAGAGAGGCTGCTCCATGGGGGGAAAGTGCTTCCTGTGTATTTCAAAGCAGCCAGCTACCATCACCGACAGCGCAGCAGAAAGATTTCCAGTAACTACAGGAAAGGATGCAAAAGAAAAAAAAATTAAAAGAAGAGCTAGAGCCAGTGATAGTACTTCACAGGCATTGACATTCAGGGATGTTTCCTCAACATTTTTTTTTTTTGGCCCTTGGGGTGTCCAGATGCCCACTCACTGTATTCTGTGGCCTCCCCGATGGCTGAGCCTATTTCTTGTTGCTCCACTCATTGCTTATCTGACCTCAACCGAGTTATTTAAGCTCATTATCCCTTTTCACAGCTCTCAGACAGGGTAACCCTGCTTACTTTGGAGGGTGGTTGTGAGATTTAAATAAGATAATGTTATGGTATTATTATAAGAGTTCCTGGTAGCACTTAATGTCCATTATTATTGAAGATAAACCAATAGTTTTAATCTTTTGTTTGCAGATAAAAGAGATCTTTCTGAGTAATATTTTAAAAGATACACTTGAATAGAAATGATTTGGGAGAAATTAAAATAGTATATTCATACAGTTTATTACTTTAAAAGGATTTTGAAATTATTTAAAGATATTATCAGTCTTTAGATTTTATAATTTCGCTGGTTTTTTCAGCAAAATTAAGGCACTTGAGAGAATCAAGGTCTAGAAAATTTGTTTAGGAAAAAATCATTAAAGAGGGAAATTAATGAGATGAAGATGAAGGAGCAATTATTCAGATATTAGTCAAACTTTTACTTTTAAGAAAATTATCTAGGACATTTTGGTTGTAGAAGAGTAGGAGTTTTGTTACAGAGTTTATATCTACTGCTACCATTTCATTTCTCAATTCATCATTCTTATTACTGGAATCCTATTGTTGGAGCAGAGACAAACTTTGGCTTAGTGGAATTTACTTGAAGTTTAGAGACAGTCACATTTTGCTAACTTCAATAAAGTTTCAGATAAGGCAAAGTTTCAATTCAGAAAAATCAAACTAATGTTTAAATAGCTTTGATTTGTTTTTGTTGATAGAGGAACTGGTAGGTAAATTTTTTTATTATATCTCAGCATTTAAATGTATCCATAAAGGGTGCTCTTTACTATGTCTCTAAGAAACAGAAAGCGGTTTTTTCCAAAATTTTGAGGAATTTTTAATCTATTGCTATTTTAAATTAAGTTGTATAACAGCCCATTTATAATAAAGTAGAGATTTTGGTTTTCTCTGCAGCTCATATAAAAATATGAATTTCATGTATAATCTGCCTTTAAAATAAAGTTCATCACAAAAGTACATCTGTCTGATTATTTAGGGTGTTATAAACTCATCAGAAAGGGTATTATTTAGCTTTTCATTGCTATGACCTCTGATGTAAACAACTTAAAAGATTTATTTTGGAAACAAAGCTTTTGTAAATAGGGAAGGGTGGAGGGGTTTAAGGGAGGGAAGGGGAATGGGAAAAAAAATAAGAACCAAGATATATCATGTACAAGTACAAATTACCTATAGTGAATGTGATCATAATGTATACCTACAATGTACCAATAAACTTGATGAAAAAAAGAAGATTTATTCTGGCTTATGGTTTCAGAGGTTTCAATCCATTGGTTGGTTGGCTCCATTATTTTTAGACCGGTAGTGGAGCAGAAACAACATGGCAGAAAGGGATGGTAGAGTTCAGCTTCTCACTTCACAGCAGCCAGGAAGCAGAGAGGATTGCAAAGAGCCAAGGAAAGCAGAAAGGGACTGGGACAAAAATATATCTTCCAAGTTGTGCTCCCAGTTACCTACTTCCTCCAAACAGGCCTCACTGCCTAATAGCACATTCAACTGAACTCATCAATGGATTATTTCATTGATGAGCTTAGTATTCCTGTGATCTGATCACTTTCCAACACCCTCACCTCTGAATACGAGAGACTTCTAGGAGACATTTTTGACCCGAACCCTAAGAAGTACCAATATGTCCATCCAATTTAATGTTCACTCTGTTCCTGTTATACACAAGGCAGTATGCTGGCCACAGTGGAAGAGAGAAGAGCAAAGTCTGTTCTCAAGCATCACAGACTCATGTTCCATTAGGGAATACTAAAAGAAGAAAGTGTCTGTAGTTGGAGAGGGGAGAGACATCATTTTATGCTGTAAAGAAGGAAGAGTTTTGTGTGAAAAAGTGAATGCACCATCGAAAGCACAGCAAAGGCATAGAGCTGTGAAAGGGCCAGACAAATTTTCTGAAGGGTGAGAAGCTCAAGTTTTGTGGCAATCAAGGAAGAAAACAGATTAGGGTCAGATCAGAAGAGGCATTTAATATACTTTGTAGGAATTTGGAAATTACTCTGAAGGTAACAGAATCACTGAAATTTTAGACATGTAAAATGATTAGTATTGACATTTAGGATGATTACTGTCAAGATTGTGTTCCAGTAGACCGGAAAAGACATTGGAGGTAGGAAGATAGGAAGTTATGAGAATAATGGTTTAGTATAATCGGGGCTTGAGTTACAATCAGAAATTTCACTTCAGTGCAATATAAGGAAGGTAGGAAAGTAAGATGCAACAGAGTTCACTGATAAAGCCATAGTAATTGAAGCAAAGAGCAAGGAAAAGGCCAATGGTACTGTTTTTGTTTTTTTTTTTAGTTTTTTGGTACTGGGGATCGAACTTGGAACCTTGCACTTGCGAGGCAGTTGGAGGAACCACTGAGCTAAATCCCCGGCCCCCAGTGGTACTGTTAATATGAGCCCTGGTGATTGGAAAGATGAAGGGAAAACAATATAAATGAGATCCATGTGTAGATATAGACAACATGAATTTAATTTTGGGTTGAATTAGTGGTTCAAATGGGTCATCTAAATAGAATTACTCATAAAACAGTTGAAAATATGAATCACTGCTCGGGAGATTGGTTGAATCAGGAGAGAATGATTAATGAAGCATCTATTTAGAGTGGGTGTTTAGGGTCAGATGAAATTAAAAGAGGATTTGGAAGGAAGAGAAGAGACTGTCTATGTAATAGCAAAAAAAAAAAAAAAAAAAAAAAGTTAAAGTACTGAAAGAAAGGCCAGGAAGATGGGTAGTGTTTAAGGGAAGGTTTCAAGAAGTAAGACCTACAAAACAGTACTTTTGATCTTTCCCTCTAATTCTTCTCTTTCCCTCTTTGCAGTCTCCTTCAAATTTGGAGTTATGAGACACCATTCTTTCACCTTATTTCCAAATATCATTGTTCTATAGATTTTATTTCCAACATTATTATAAACCAACTGGTTTCTCTCCATAGCCATTGCCTTAATTCTAAGCCAGATAGATCATCCTCACCTTTTTAACCCAGACTATGTGCAATAACATGTAAGACTGAACAACAGTTACTCCATCTTTGTAACAGGGCTCCAACTTTCTGCTTCTGTTATGGATCACCAGGTAGACATCAAGTTCCAGGGATGTGCTTGTTGTTGTGCCAGGAAGGTCTGTTGTGTGCGTAGTGTTCTGTCATGCTTGCCCAACTCCATATCTGAATATGTTATCTTAAGGACAGTCTGTAAAAGGTCTGTTTTATCTCTCTCCTCCACTTTTGTATTTCTGCTTGCCAACTTCCCCTGAGACCCCCTATGAAAACAGCTTCGGACTCTGAGCCAGTTGCCTCTCTAAGCTACTTTGCTTTGGGAGTGCCATCTGGCCAGACTAATAAAGGTCACTTGTCTGGTGTGTTCCTTCCCAGGTGTTCTTCACTGCAGTCAGCTCCTTGGAGCATTTGGTAAGGCCCTCGGTCTTATATAACACATAGGTAGCACTGAGGTAAAAGTCATAGCCATAACAATAAACGGTGTTTCCATTTTTGTCTCCCTATGAAACATTCGACAATCAGAGTGCTTCTAGGTAAATGCAGACTGAATATTAATCTTCAATTTAAATTCCTTCTGTATATCTCTACCTGGTTCAAAGGAAACCCAGAATCCTTCCTATGGCCTGGATGGTCTCACCCGTCCTGGTCACTTCACTCTAACTGCTTGCTATATACTCCTGTCTGGCCATGTTTCAGCTACATTGATCTTCATTATCTTTCTTGAGTATATTAAACTCTATTCTGCCTTAGGGACTTTGATGGGTCTTCTTTCTGCCTGAAACAGTTTTCCTTAATTTTCCCCTGCCTGGTGCCTATTTCTATGTTAGATATGCACTGTATAATCTAAAGTGGATCCTGCCTATTATTTTCCTCATAAAATCCATTGATTTCACTATACTTACTGCAATTTGAAATGAAATGTGTTCATTTGTACCATTCCCATTTCAATGAGTTGATTGGAAATTTCATGAGAATTGCAACCAAAATTGTTTGGTGTCAAGACAAATGCTCAGATTTGTTGTAAGCAACACACATTCATACATAGACCTGATTAAACGATCACAGAATTAAACATTTTGAGAGACAGAAAACAGTGAAACATACAATAAATTGACTGTATTGATGAATGGATTGTTAGTTACCTTTTTACATTCAACAGAACTTCATGATGAAATCAGAAAGCAAGGGCTTGAAGTATTAATGAGTAGTGAGTATGTGTAAGTAGTATCAGAAAGAAGAGCTTTGATGTGTAGCAAAACAGAAAGATAAAAATTTGTTTAAGAAGTTAGAAAGATCACAGGAAGCTGTTTTATAAGAGATGGAAGAGTTTTTCCTGCTTCTTTGCAGAGAAGATGAGCCAATAAAGATGTAAGAGGAAGAATAAATACATAATACAGAAATGTCCAGGAGTAAGTAAGAAAGGAGAAAAGATTGATAGCCCCCAAAGTACAATCATAGCAAGGAAAGACAAAAAATAATCCTCAATAGGACAATAAAAGTTCAGACTTTTTAGAATACAGAAAATATTGAGGAATGGAAAAATGAATTTGAGGAGAGATATACAATATGACCTTTATCTTTCAACTTAGACCACTTACTGACTCAGAGCTAGTGGATAGGGATGAAATGGAGAGAACAGAGAGGGAAATATTCACCAATCCCTGTTGATGGGTTTGGCTGAAGATGGAGAGTCTGTGGTAAAATTAGATCTAGTTGTGATTTGAAGCTTATGTTA